TGTGTGTGTGTGTGTGTGAATAGAGGTTGTACAGGAATAGAGAGGGGCACTGTCCAGCTGTCATTATCATGCACAGCTGTTTGTGCAGGTCAACATTACACACACTGTTTCCTACCCAATCCTTTTAAATCACACTGTCTGTGTAAACACATCTGTCTCCTGTGTGCATGATTATTCACCATCAGAATGCTGCCGAGCACAGCAACAAAGTAAAACATGTCCCCACCCTCCTTCCACTTTGCCACAGTTTTTCGAGATGGTGCTCAAATGCGTGGCGGAGGGAGCTGCCAGCGGCCTGAACGTCATCGCTGTCTACGTCACAGAGATCCTCAGGGTCACAGGATTCGACGGTGGGTACAAGGGCGACTTCTGTGTCAGGTTTTTTTCTTCTTCATGTAACCGATGCTGTTGATGTTTAACACAGTGTACATAGTTGGAGTAAGTGATTTAGTTGTTGAGTGCAATGAAAGTATGCAGTCTTGCCTCTCCCTCAGGGGAACCTGTCTGCCACTCCTTTTGTTTGCTCTTGTTACTTCTTGTGTAAAATACAGGAGTTTATTCTTATGAGAAGAACAACTAAGCTGGGTTTCCTCCCTCCACAGCTGCACTGCCCCGATTTACCCCAGAGGGCGTGACCGCCTTCGCCCAGTGGGGTCTCCTGGCTCTCATTGGCTACTGGGTGCTGACCATCGTTCTCCGTCTGCTCATCGCCGTGATGAGGCGGGTGTTCTGGGTGGTGAAAACCGTCTTGGCGCTCTGGCTTTTCGGACTGATGGTGACTGACAAGACTGCCACCGCGGACACCACGGCGGTCCGACTGGCCGGCCTAGTGCTGGTGTGCGCCCTGTTGACTCTGCTCTCTTCTGCGTCTGAGAAGTCGTGTGCAGTGGAGCAGCGGCTGAGTGTCCTGGAGGGCCGGCTGAGGGCGGTAGAGAAGAGGAAAGGGGACTAGTGATGGGAAAGAGGCTGCAGCGGAGTAAAGATGAGCAAAGGTGATGGTGCTGTGGAGAATGATAACTTTGATGGTTTCTGTCTGTGTCAAATTATTATTGCAAATAAAGTAATCTCTGGGGTTTTTAATCAGGAACACTCTTTGTGTTTTCTTTTGCTAAATGAAGATGCCGATGTTTAAGCTGGGAGCTTCTCACGTTGACTGCCAACATCTCAGATTCAGTCATTAGTTTTGCAGTATTTGATCATCGGACACCAGTGTAATTATTGACCTTGCAGTGGTGCTGGATGAAAAGTCGGATGACATTCTCTCAGAGCCACAGCAAAATTTCATCACAATCCATCGAGTATATGTTGAAATATTCCACAAGAAACTTTGTCCTGCTCTAAACGTGAGATGAAAAATGAATGGTTCACTAAAGTCATTGAATTCATCCTCTGGGGATCATTGATCTGTGCCAGGTTTCATGGCAACAATTAAAACATCCACCACAGAGGTTATGTTTTCAACCCTCTCCGTGTGTCTGCCTGTTTGTTGGTTTGTATGTAAGCAGGATTATGAAAAACAGCTGAAATGATTTCCATGAACTGTTGGGGTGGGACAAGACACAAGGAAGTTTAAACTACTGTCGGACAAACAGTGAACACTGTAATAATAATAATAATAATGCAGCTGATCATAAATATCAAAGCGTCTACAGTATGTAATTTGAATTCTCACTTAGTGGATATGTTGAGATTGATTGTGGAGCAATATTTCTCTGGACTTGTCAGAGAAGGGGCCTGATATTTATTTATAAGTGAAGTTACACGTGGTTTATAAGGGGACTGTTGGGCCTTGGCAGGGTTATACACAGTTTAATCTGAACGTAAGTGTCCTGCCAGTAGCATGGATATTATTAGGATATTATTACTTCATCAGCACTAATCCATGTCTCTGTTTGAACTCACCATAACATGGCACCTTGACCCCAGGCTGACCTGTGGCCCGTCGACGGCCTCTTCACTGCCCAGTCAGCTGGGAGCTTTTTTAGATGCTTGGGTTCACACCAACAATGTCCCCCCCCTCCCCACTGTTGCACACCCCCAAAGGAAAAGCCTGACCTCAGTGCCAGAATGACCATTCCTGCTCGTTCACCCCCCCACCACCACACACACACACACACACACACACACACACACACACACACACACAAGTGCACCAGATATGAATCCACAGTTCAACTGACAGTGAGATAACAGTGTCACCACCACTCTGCATCACAATAGAGGCAAAGAGAGCCAGTGGTGATGATGTGGTGCTATATATGGTTCACAAAAGCAAGTATCTAAAATGACATAGTCCGAATTACAAAGCAGCTGAAATGATAGGATTAATTCCTCCTGGTCACTCATGATTATTAGCGCCACTGAAAACAATGTTTTCACACATTGTTTGTTTTTTAAGCAAGATTTCATTCAAAAAACCACTTGACAGATTTCCACAAACCTTGGTGGAAGGATGAGGAGCGTGTGTCAGGGAAGAAGAGCAGATCGAGATCAGAGGGCGGATCCAGAACTTTTTTTTTTTCATTTTACAATCCGGCATGTTTATGCGACTGATATCTGAATGTGTGAAGTTTGGTGTTTCTTGATTGAGTTTAATGGGTCTTGGTGGAGGTGTAGAAGTGGTTATTGAAATAATTTTAAAAGATCAGAAGGATTCAGTAAGAGTTAGAGTGAAGAGTTAAGTTTATGGGTTTCTATTGATGTGTCCATGTCGTTTCTGAATAGAGTTCAAATGCATTTGGCAGTGCCTGTGTTTACATCCCTATACAAAGCAGGGATTAAAAACCTGAAGGGGGTTTCAGGATCAGTGAGTGTAACAAATGTGCCTACAAAGAATGAGTTGTGCTTCTTCACGACACACAACAGCCTCAGTCGTATTTGAACTCGGCTGTTTCCTTTGTGAACCAGTTGGTATGCTGGCAGGAATTTATGCGCTCCGATGAGCTTCTGGCTGCCGGCTGACGTGTTGGTTGGGTGCTTGTAGTGGAGGTGGTGTCCCCCCCCGAATTTCAAGCAAATTATAGTGTACGTGACGATATGGAAGCAAAGCACAGACACAAATCATTCAGTATTGTTAGGTTTAATACACCTGATGTTATAAAATACACATTGATACAAAGACAGGAATCAAACATGTTTAAACATGCATTACAACCAGTTTTAACAAAGGTCAACCCGTCTTCAGTTTTTAAACCACTACGACATGCAGAGTATGACATTCATAAAGGAGCAAGTAATTGAATAGCTATAACATGGGTCATAAAAACTAAATACGTATCTACTGTTGTATTAAGTACATATGAGAAGGAGGACACATGCATAAAGGTTAAGTGTGAGCGTGTGTGTGTCTAAATTAGTTGTGTGTTCAAGGCACAGTGCTGATGTCGGTGCAGCACAGCACAGCGGTGTGTTAAAGTTTTATTTGAAAGTATAATGAAAAAAAGCGACTGCGGTTTGTGGTATCTTAAAAGTTGTCAAACAGTCTTTTTGATCAAATTCAAAATAAACCACTTGAGTCTGTGCGTGACGGACCTGAAACATTGAGTCAGTTAGTGGTTTTGTATCTATACAAATGAGAGTAAACATCTACAGCTTCCCTGATGCAAGTTTTTCACAGTTGAGCTGGACTGTAACAGATGAGGTATTCCTGACTGAACTGTTGAGGGACTTGCTATTAAGAGTAGATGTTTTTTTAACCTATGGCTTTAAACTCACTGCTCGTCACACATGGCTTTTGAAGATCAGTTATCTCAAATAAATGGGACTAACACAGAAACAAACTATGGTGTTCCCTTTCTCCTTAAACGTTTACCCAGTGTGGTCATATTTGGCAGAGTGTCTGTCCCCTTTAACCAGTATAACTGCTGATTGACTACAGCCAGCAGTTGGTTAGCTTGGAATTGACAATAGGAATAGGAAGTGCTGCTTTGTGTTGAGGTATCTGAATGCACTCATCGGTGTTTCTAAAAATCACAGACATGTTTTTCTTGTTTAATTCTGTTCTTATGGACAAGGCTGCGTGCTGGACTATTTCGTGGCTGGAGCCACTTCCCAGATAACCAGACGCGGCATATTTGCCAAAATGTCAAACTATTCATTTAGTGACTGCAGCGTTCCAGTTCAAGGCTTTCACAGGAAGTTGAGTTTGTTGGAGGTATAAACGCTGTTGTAAGTTGGATCTGAGCTGAGAGGGGGAGCCGAGGATATGTTCATTCCCTTCAGTTCAAACCGCAGATCAGAGTCAGAAGACAGAGAGAAAGAGGGAGTGTGTTCCTGCTCTGCTGGAGCTGAAACCTGCAGAGAAAGAGACACATACAGTGAATGTCACTGGATCAGAGCATCACAAGTAGCCTGCCTTAGTTCAGTCTATTATGCAGATGTTACCAGCTGGTTTTACACAGGTGCTACTTGAAGAATATTACTGCCAAATAATTGACACAGAGATTCATACACACACATTTAAAAGGTCGTAGTCTTCAACAAAACTTCTAAAATGTAGTTTTTGTCAAGAGAGCATTTGGCATGGGGCCTCATTAGAGGGCTTCCACTAGGTTTCACTGTAATCTCCTGTATACAGACAATCAAGGGGGTTCATACAAAACTGTTGATGCTGTGGACTAAAGTTATCAGCTGATCTTGGTGAGCACTAATGTATCAAATACAGTGTGTGTGTGTGTGTGTGTATTCAGGTCAAACCTCAGAATAAGCAGGTGGCACATTCACAGTAGGAGGATTGTGTATCTGCTGATCAAAGAGACACAATATATTAGCGGTGAAGACAGGAGTACTCTAAGTGTTGAGACGACAAGAGAGAGACAACCTTCTCTTCATGAGATATAACATACACTGACCAGAGGGCCAGTCGGAGCGCAGGAAGGCTGAGCGGGGTAGAGCGTCTCAGAGGGCGATAACATTTGTACTGACCTCAGTGCAACAGGCTCATTTCGGTACTGCAATTTGTATGAAACATGAAACACAATGAGCATGACATGATTTCGACAGCACGACTTTTCTAAAGTAGCCCTGAAGTGCAAATCACGAAACACGACAGCGAATAAGAAAACACAAGTTACAAAATACAACAAGATACAAAACACAACAACAAATCACAAAACACAATACAAATATGAAAACACCAACAAAACAGAAAACAAATATGAAAACAAAACATCAACTAAGAAAACACAACAAATAAGAAAACACAACAAATCCGTGCAGAGTGCATCCAGTGACAATACCCTGTCTACATACACTTATCTTCTAAATTAAAAGTTCATGCCATTTTGTTTTGTCGATATGATTTATGCTTCAGGGCCACCCTACTTTTCAACACACACACACACACACACATTGTAAAAAAATACGGATGTGTTCACCTCGTTGTATGTCACCGCTGGTTCAGTGGCAGCAGAGTCTGAGTCCTTTTTCTTGGAGCTTTTGCCGCAGCAGCAGCGTCTCACACAGCAACAGAAGAAAATTGAGGCCAAGAAAGCGCCAATGGAAGTTCCAATGTGCCCTAAATTGAAAGGCTCGCCTGAAACAATAAGGGCAGAAACGTTGTCACCAACAATGTCTGTATTTGATTGATTGTGTAAGTTGCAAGAACATGAAATATTTGCTTATGTTGGGATTTGAGAACTTGCAAAAGTATTTGATCACAGTTGTATGACCACAAGAGTGTGAAATAAATGATAATGTGAATAATCATTCATTACAAAGTGTCAAGATGTAACTCAGTAGTAACAATAATTCACTAATTCCAAAACACACAGGCTACTCACCCATCCAATTCACCTGCACCGACAAAGCAACTCCATCATATTGATCTCTGACCTCAAAGTGTCCGTGGCACAACTCATGCATCTCCATCTCCAACCCGCATGGCTCTACAAATTCAAAGTCTGTGCAGGATGACCAGGTGTTCACCTTCCTGCCGCTTCTAACTAGCTCTGTGTCATACTTCGTATATTCTTGTTTATCTGGGAGGAAGTGAATGTTGCAGTTTTTTGATTCCAGAGGAAATGTGAATCTGAGTAGTTCCTGACCGTTCAGATCAAAGTTCTTATACTGTGCTAGAAAAGAGGACACACAAAGACAGAGGACATTAAAAGCTACTTCCAGCCTAAATCTTAGCAGATTATTACCATGTAGTCCTTTTTGTAAGGTTCTACTTTTATCATTCACACGGCATTAGGGATGGGCATGATTAATCGACAAATTGATAATTGATTGTTAATTCTCCCGACGATCGATTAAGAAAATCTCATCGAATGCCCACCCCTACACGGCATGGCAGCTTACAGGAACAGATTTGAATATTTAATATTTGAATAGATGGCATCTTGGGAAATACATTCAGTTGCTTTCTTGTTAGCTTTGCTTGGCAGAAAACCAATAAACTTCTGAACAAACTTTGTCCAAAGGTTCCAAACTCAAACAGTAAGCACTAGGTCCAGCACACAGTCCCCATAAAACCAGAACTTGACCCACAACTTCAAACACTTCAAAAACGAGGGTTTCTCACCTACAACTGCGATTTTATGTGACAACAGGAGTTTATCATTTCTGCCCATCATTTTGTATTCGCCATTGTCACGTTGGGTTAGATTATTGATCACCAAGTAGCCATTAATGACACCCCGCCTGTACGTGCTGAACGAAGGGTCGTTGAGTTTCCAAAGGATCACTGATTCTGAGCCGTCCCTGGGGACAAATATGAGTGAATGAGCACTCCCTCTCATCCTGATCCTGATTGTGCTCCCGTACTGCTCTTCATAGAAATCGCCTAGAGAGAAGTAGAGAGAGGAAGCCCGGTGGATTAAAAAAAACACTGAGAATAAAACTATTAAATCACAGCACACCACCTCACTTTCATTTCTACTATTCATACATTTACACAGATACAGATGCTTATCATGAATGAGTTCTGTGATGGAGGGTGGAGTCAGATTTATTGTAACCAGTAACAAAATATGCTTTATCTGCATGTACTTAAAGCATTACAAGTAAAGTGTTCATTACATAAATATACCCCTTCCATATGACCCTAAATATAAGTATTCAGAATACATTTTAATCTTGTGCAGCATAATATATATATATATAATGACACAAGACTTCTTCTGTTTTGTTGCAGGAAAAGTCACAGATTCATGACCTTACATTAATACAAGCATAGATTTCTTTGCATTCTTTCTCAAGTTACACTTCCTTTCATTACTAGTTAAAGGAGACATACTATACTTTTTCAGTTTTTTCTTCCTCAAGTACTTTATATAGCTTTTTCGTGTATGTAAAAGTTCTGCAAATCCCAAGTCCACTGCTCCTTGAACACATATGTCCGTTTCAAATGATATAACCGTCACCGCCCACATACTTCCAAACGTCCTTTATGTTGGCATGGTTGTTAAGCAACAGTGCATCCACTGGACGGCAGCACAGAGTCAAGAGTGTCAGACAGTAACACATAAGGCAATGGTGGAAGAGGATCAGATGATGTACTTCATAGGAAAGAGGCAAAAGCTTCATATAGATGCACGTAGTTTCTTAACAACTCCTTAAGGGGGTAGTTCATCTAAATTCACACACCACTATACCAGTGGAGGGTTGGGTGACGTGTGTGAGTCCACAAAACACGTTTGGAGTTTCAGGGGTAAACAGTGTTGCAGTCAAAGTGACTTCTTCTTCAGACGCAATAAAACAACAGAAAAAAAACAACATGCCTCCATACTGCTTGTGTGGTGTCATCCAAGTGTCCCGCAAGCCACGACATTAATATTTGATTCGAAACAGCGTCATTTACACCATTTTTTAAGCCTGAAAGTCCATTACAGAAAGTGGCAAATCAAACGGGCGTGGCCACATGACAGTGTACCCTTCGCATGCCCTTTGGCGATAGTGTGTGTGTGGTGTTCGAGTCCCCGTGCGTACATGAATGCGCTTCCAAGGAGGCTTTCAGAGGACATTTAGGCTATCAGAGGACATTTAGGCTATCAGAGGACATTTAGGCTATCAGAGGACATTTAGGCTAAATGACGCCGTTTGTAGTCAAATATGAATGTCGGGGCTTGCAGACACTTGGATGACACCATAGGAGCAGTATGGAGGCAAGTTGAGTTTTTTTGGATGTTTTACAATTTACTTCAATTGTATTGGATTCAGCAGCAACACTGTTTCCTCCGGAAGTGTACCCCTCCATCGGCATAGTGGTGAGTAGATAACGATGAACCGTCTCTTTAAGTCTGTCCTCAAAAAGTTCCACCATGGTTGAAATTTCCTCCTTCTGTCTTTTGGTCATCTCGCTTGGCTACAAAGAGGTACGACATAATGACGCTTCAAAATTGAAACCAAAACGTCTTGATCACCCCCTGGTGGCTGACTGAAGTGCAGGTCATTATAGTTCTAGTGTCAGTCAATACAGCTGCAAAACCATTGATGCAAGATGGCGTCTGTATCCAAGACGTTCTGGCTTCATCTCTGGACAGTGGGAGGAGGTGGAGACGCGTTGTCCATCTTTAATGACAGTGTTTCGGACAGAGGCTGATGAGAGGAGCTGTGACAATGGACAGTAGAGGAAAGTGATGCTTCTATAAATCAAATTAAAATGATAAACCTGATTATGAGGAGAATATGTCCACTTTGGGATTTTCTACACAAAGAGTGGCCTGATGGAGAAAATGGTTTCTGTTCACAAACTCTAGGCAACGGTATATGATGTCACAGGACCCCTACATCACGTGACAGCAGTCAGGGTCTAAAATAAATGGAGGGGGGGGGGTGTAGGTTTAGACCAGCTCCTCCAGAACACCACACGGACGGTCACGTGTTAGAGTCTGGAATCAAACCACGACACCACTTCGTTGAAAAGTGAAGTTAAAAAAGTAAAACAAAAGTGAGTGTGTTCGATCCCCTGATGGTGTTAGTGTTACTCACCCGCGTGAACAGCGGCCGCCGCCAGCAGCAGCAGCAGCAGAGACACCAACATCCCGAGTCCCGATCACGACCCAACGTGTGCAACACTCGGTCAGTGTTTTCTCCTGCCTGGATTTCTCATATATTCATGTCTCACACACACACACGCGTCAGTTACGGACGATCACAGACACATTCCTCGCGCTGCTGTTGTTACAGACGCTGTTCGTCCGCGGGCTTGTTTTCTGGGCCCCACCCACCCAACAAGGGCGTGGCCACAGAGACACCCGAGGTGCGTTTGAGGACTGTCGGAAAAACTCGTTGTTCACGGTTCAAGGGCCTGACTGAGAAGCATGGACGTAATCAGCGATGCAGTGTTTGCATTGAGAGAGACACGCAGGGGATGAGTAGCTTCAGTTACAGGTTTAGGTAATGATCCTTGAATTTGGGTGAGTTTAGTTCTTGTTACATCATTTTGGTTTTTGACATTTGGGGTTCTTGTTCAAGGTCTCCGGAGCTGGAGGGATTTCAATGTAATTCATGTTATGGTAATAGACCATAGACTGTATGTGGGCGGCCATCTGCCTCGACCGGTTTGGTGAGAGGAGAAAAATGTGGAAGAGGAAGATCAGAAACTGTTAACTGTAACCATCATATTTATGTAGTGTCAGACTGGTTATAATGAAATAATAATATGGTTATAATGAATTATAGATGTAATGATATTATCAATAATAGCGCAGCTTAAAAATTGTAATAATAATGTCATGACATTTCCTACAGCAGCATATTGCTGTAATGAAAAAGAAAAAAGGATTAGTACCATGTTGTAACTAATTGGTAAAACAAAACATTTTTTTACAGTGGCACTAATACATAATTACATTGTTACACAATAACGTGCCATGTGAAACGTTTTATGAATTAACAATGAGTCATCAAATCACAATATGTTGTTTTACCTAATGAAATGTTTTAACAATATGTTTCAGTATAACATTCCTATACAATAACTTTTCCACAATGGCATCAATACATACACTGTCTAAACTGCAACATGAAAAGTTGTATATGTTATCATGTGATGTTATACATTATAACGTTAAGAGTTTAACTATTAATCTATCCAACCATTCAAAAATCAGGAGGAAATGTCTCTTACATGAAACTCATGGTATGATCACACATCTACATAAAAACGAAACATAAAATAAATTTTTTTTAAAATCACAAATATTACAGTTCAGTTAATTTCCTGATGACCAAGGCTCAAGAGAAGTTGGTGGAAAGAGAAAGCACCGGCTTACACAAGATCTACGGAAGGACTTACATTGTCTGTTATAAAACATAGCACTTGTCAAAAATATCCTTCACAATTTCTTGAGGTATAAAGCTGCAGTGGCACATTGTGCAGCTTGAGGTACAAAAATATTGAAACATATATCAACATAAGAAATATCAACACAGGAAAGGTTAATTGTTTAAATTGTTAAACGTTGTATTTTGATCCTGACTTTCAGTCCTTGTCATTGTAACATCCTCTCCGCTGTATTTGGTCTTGTACAAGCAGAAAAAAGGTTAATAAAAATGAATATGTGAATATCATACATTCTAATATAACCTACATTCATGGCACACAAATGTATATTCTATAATACACACATAGCCCGTATTTGACAGTTCACTTATAAAATATATTCATATATCTGTATCAATCAAATGAATTGATTTAAATGGATTAATCTCTTGGTCTGCTTTGATTCACACCAGTTTTACCACAAAGCATAACACATATTAAGATTTTACTGCTGACAATATGAATATTATACTGGCTTCATAGTTGTTTGATCAAAGGACACTTGCTTATAATAAGTCTGGTCATGTGTCTACATAGTGGGAATGATAGACGTCTATCTCATGTGGCTCAAATGGCTTCCATTGTTCCAGCTATTTTCAAAATACACAGCTAGAGGATGCCCTGTGTCTTAACGAATTATCAGTGAGCTCGTTACAGAAAGCTGAGTTTATCTGAGTTAGAAACATCGCTGACTGTTGAGTCTGAGGCAGATGGAAAGGTCACTCCCTTCAGATCAAACTTTGGTGCGGGTTCCAGGGCGAGCCAATCAGAGCTGAATGTGGGAGCAGCTCCCTCACCTCCGAGGTCTGTAACCTGCAAGAAAAAGTGTCCACAAGTTTAATGAGTGAAATAAGCCTGACCTTAAAGTGCAAAATATCTTGAATGGGAATTTTAAAAGCATTTATAAGATAAATTCAGTTATCTTTGTCAGTCTCTTCTATGTGTATGACTCTTTTTTGTTATTGTTGTTGTTGTTCAATTTCGTACGTTAAAATTAATTTTGTTTTGGTTAGATTGAGTTAATTAATTTAGTTGAGTACAATATTTCTCTGTGAAATGTAATGGAGTGTAAGTGTTACTGTGTGAGATGTAAGTATAATGTTAAGAAGTTCTTAGAGATGTAATGAAGTCTAAAGTACAGTATTTCTGTGAAATGTATTGGAGTATAATCATTGCAGATACTACAGTACTGTAGTTGTATATTCCTGAGTAGACATGTTTAATCTCTTCTCTCAGATCCCACTGTATAACCGTGCAGTCTTTTACGCCAATGACGTATTGTTGGCGAAAACTAACGCAACGTGACATGGATTTTGCGTATGAGCTGCTGAGAATACAACTAAGCCATCGCCATAGATAAAAGAAGGGGCTAGTGCACATGCGCGGTGCGCAGAGGACGTTGTTGTGCTCTTGTTATCCTCACTCACAAAAGCACTCATCGATTCTCTGCGCTGGAGTCTGTTTTCACGCGTCCTGCAGGTGAGTGGGGTGTGTCACACACTGTGTGATCGTGTGTGTGTGTGCGACCACTGTCATCAAGGCCTAATGATCCTCTGCGTCAGACGATGTGCAGCGGCTGGAGGAACATGTTTGACACCTGAGTGGACACGACTTCAGTGTGCGTCATGGACTCAGGCTGAGAGAGCACGGATGCTTTCTGTGGATGCGCGCAGAAGGGATCGCTCTGCAGAGACATCTTCAACACTGTTGTGTGTGGGCTCCCCCTTGTGTAGCTGGTCGCATGACTGCTGCTGCATGTTCTCAGAGGAGCAGGGATGACAGTGTGTGTGTGTGTGTGTGTGTGTGTGTGCGTGCATCTCTGTCCTGTGTTTGTAGATCAAAACTCGAACTGGTCCTTCTACACAGGAGAAGATGTCCCCCTGTGTCTTACTCACGGCCCTCTTTACCATTCACCTCGCTGTGGGTAAGTTCTATCTCTCTATCTATCATAAAAATATATATAAAAACAGAAACATATTATTTAACATCAACAAAAAAGTCTAGTTCCTGAACAGCTTATACACAAGTACACTATAAATATAGCGCAAAGTGGTTTCCTGATTTCTGAAGTGATATCAGAGCGGGTGAAGTCTCTGCTTGTTTCTGGAGAAGATCAATAATATTCATATGAATTCTACTCTTCCCACAGGTTGGGTCGCACCAGGTGAGTCACAGTTCATTAAATATTCTTCATCCACAGAACATTTTCTCTTCAGAGCTTCCTGACTGTCTTTTCCATTGTCACAGCTGAAAAAGAAGTCCAGATGGTTTGTGCCGGGAAAGAATTTCGCCTGCCGGTGTACTCAACATCCCGGACGGTGACTTTTACACCAAACCCTGAGGGGCAGAGACGTGTCCTGCTTGAAAAAATCACAGTGAGTGAACGTGTGTCAGTGCTCATGATTGTATTTTTTTCATGCATAGAGACTGTCTTAACCTTTTGACAAACTGCAGGTGAAAGACCCTCGGTTTCAATGGACCAGAGATAAGATGTTGGTACTGAAAGAAGTGACTCACAGTGATCAGGGACTGTATGCCATCAAATTATCCTCTGGATTCACCTACGAGACCGTTCATCTGATTGTTTCAGGTTCGAGACTTTTAATTCATTTGTACATCTAGCAAAATATACTTAAAGGAGAAAGTAAGGGTGCTGCAGAGAAACATCCGTTGTTGGAACTCGTGTTATAGTTTACATGATTGTGCTGGTGTTGCTCATACATCAGTGTGTAAGCAGTGTTTTACGATAGTAGGTGGTTGAGGTTGAGATAGTTGCAGCTTCTAATGTAGTGCATGCTATGTGGGTTTCATCTAGGGCAGTGGTCACCAACCTTTTTGAAACTGAGGTGGTCACTGGTGAGTTGTGTTATTTTTAGAAAAGGCCTGCGGGCTACTCATGTGGTCCTTGGGGGCTACCTGGTGCCCGCGGGCACCGTGTTGGTGAGCCCTGATCTAGGGTGTAGAAGAATGAGGAAAAATAAACTTAATTTAAAACCTCAAGCGTGTCCTTTTGCTGCTTGGTTGGTCTGTTTGTAAACAAGATTATGCAAAAACTACTGGATGGATTACCACAAAACTTATCAGGATGTGGTATGAGTCAGAGAAGAACCTATCAAATTTTGGAACATTTTTGTATTACTTTCTTTAGAATGGTAAGAAAGGTCCATTTTTTTTGCATTTTCACAGATTTCTCAGATGTGGAGGAAAAAAAGCATTTAGGGGATTGATATCTGAGTGTGTGAAAGTTGGTGCAGCTTGTTTAAATCAAGTTGACTGCTGGGCCTTTGGCAGAGAGGTATGTGCTCTAGCTTGTGAAATAGATAATTTTACAACTTATATCAAAAGCAGCTTGAAACTACAGCTGCCAAATATATGTAGAAAGGTAAAAAGTTAAATACTTACCTCTTTGTTGTGAGGTAGAAGGATGAACTAGTATAACAGGTACAAGTACTTCAGAAACGTCACTTGTTTTAATCCACTTCTGAACATCTTCTAACTTTTTAACCCTGTTGCAGAATGCATTAAGTCCTACCGCCGAAACTATGGCGAGAACTTTGAGCACAACATCCCTGAGAATGGCACCCTCCTGGAGTTTTCTCCCCGGGGTGCTCCACCTGAGGCAATGCCAGTTGTGCTCTGGAACCGCACAGACCTCAGGACCGGCAATCAGGGCCGTGGTCGACTGCTGCGAGGCGGGAAGGTCTGGGTGGCCGAGAAAGTGACGCAAGTGGACCAAGGCAACTACACCGTGAGAGACCTGCAGGGCAGGGTGCTGTCCCGCAGCACCCTCACTGTCCGTGGTGAGAGGAGACAAAACTCAAGAGTGTTTTAAGAAGCTGACTGATGATTTCCTTTGTGTTACTGTCAGTGATAATAGTGATGTTTTATATTTTCCTTTTCCATCTGACACCTGATCATACCCTCTCATTTCTTTCATTTCATCATCCTGCAAATGGATTCAGGCCACTCATCCAATGTCACCCGCTTCAGCAAGGAGACTCTAAACCTGCCCCTCTTTCTCCCTGTTAATCATGCCCACCTCATTTTCACCCCCACCCGACACCCTGATGAATCCTCCCTGGGCCCTTTCGACCCCAAGCCCCCCCGCGGACCCGTGCAGCTGATCCGTGAGGGCCAAATAACTAACTACGACATGCGCTACAGGGGCCTCATCTCCCTGGGGAGAAATGGTACCATCAATGAGGTTGTCATAGCAAGGCTGACCTCAAGGCATGATGGGTTGTATGAAATTAGAGATGGAGATGGAAACCTGGTGTCCGCCACCTTATTACAGGTGATTGGTGAGTAACAATGAGTCTCTCTTTTTATCTAGATGTGTTTGCTTATCAAAAGTCTTTTTCGTCTTATTATCTGCTCCATCTCTGTGTCTCTAATCATTCCAGAAAAGGGAGCCAAATGGCGAGCACTCCTCAAGTCCATCACTGTCCCTTCTGGGATGTTTGTATCACTGGCTGGTTTCATCCTGTTCATGAAGCGCTTTCCAAACTGCAGCCTGTCACAGATCATCGCTGGCCTCAGAGTGAACCACATGCCGCCAGCCAACCCGCCAAGAGTTAACATCCAGGTGAGGGAATCAGGAGACTAATTGCTTGAACTCTATTAAATACTGCATTGATTTGCTATTTGTCCTCAAAAGAAAAACTCAAAAAAATGTAAAACTCAAACAGCCACGTAGGCAACCAGGAAAAGAATGTTACGCAGGGAGTGGGATGTAGAATCCAGGTAAATGTGTTGTTTATTGTTCCATTTGACAAGAAAACAATGAAACAAATGGTAGTGTGGTCTCTCTTGCCTTGTAGTTAAGGCAATAACATATCACAGTCCCATTCAGTGGTACTGTACTTTTGATATATTTTGCATGTTAGACTTCTTGCTGTTTCTACTCCAGCGGTTTATTGTTCCTTCACTGTAATTGTTATTATGTAAAAATGACTATGTAGTTGAATCGTGTGTGTGTGTGTGTATGCAGGACTACAGCCAGCCTATCTCTGAGCCCTCAGGCTACTACAGTCCCTCTCAGCAGCCTGGAACACCAAGAAAATGGACCCCAAGAGCGAGTCCTACTCACATTGTAAGACGATAAACTGAAGTAAATGAGTTGTTCAGTTTTCCCTTCCTTTCAAACTGTTAATTTTGTGTGAACGTGATATATGTGTGCTGGTGTTTTTACTTCCAGGGTTACACTTCGGTCAGATCAGAAACTCCCAGAGTTGAGAACCAGGGAACACCCAGAGTAGCAGCTGAGAGCTCCCCAAGTTGTATTTCAACCACTGAGGTAATACAGCTCTAAACTTCTCAGTTGTGAATATTTGTAGGTCACAGACATAGACAACGTGTCTCTACTTACTCCCACTATCCAGAATAAAGCTAAACTATACAATATACAAACGCTTGTGCATTTGGAGCCAGTCTGTGCAGTTTAGATTGGGGGATGGAGCTGTGGTAGCAGTATATATACTGTATAGGTATATACAGTCTATGGTCAATACACATGCTCAACCTAACTTGAGTCAGTCACAGCAGCACACATAATGGAAAATAATGAAACTTACATCAATATGATAAGAACTAGCTAAAATGACAGAAACCATCTTTTAGGAAAATGTATTTGATGCAGACTTTATAGTTTGGTCCACGTCCCATCCAATAACTTGGAAGAGGCAGGATTTATGACATTTACTGCAGCCAGCCAGTAGGTGGCGATCATGACACTTTGGCTTAGCTTCATCTTTACATACAGACTATTGTCACAGATTAAAAATGGGTTCCTAATATATGTCTTCATTCCTTCCTAGCAGAACACATCTAATGAAGAAGAGAGCAGGATTTCCTTCGCAGTGGCCGGGGCTTCAGATTGCCTCCACTCGTCCGAGGACTGTGTTCAGTTTGAGATCAAGACAGGTGGAGATAAAGAAAGGCGGAGCAAATCACAACAAAGCTTTCCCACAATGCCGCTGGACACGAATACCTCAGAGTCCTGCAGCGTTTACACCTCAGATAAACTGAACTTCTCATAAAACAGAGCATTGGAGCTGAACTGAGGGAGGAAGAAACATTGACAACCAATAGTTTTCTGGTGGGACAGAAAGATCTCACATGTGCCTTTTGCATCTTAGCCCAGTTTTCACAGTTTGGTTTCAATGTTGCATGTAAATTAAAAACTCACTGTGGTTTTGTCACGTAATTTTAATGAAGCACGAGTGGAACATTAGCCTTCCTGTCTCATCTAACCCAAATCTTGTCGCTGGTGCTCCTGAAATCTCCAGCTGCTACCTACCTCCAGACCCTCAGGACCATTATTACCTGCACTGTATTTTCTGAGAGTGTGTACACATGCGGTATGTTTGTGTAACGTGATCTCTAGGGCTATGCAGGCATTAAAGTTATGATACACAGGTTAGCAAAAGGGAATTCTTCAGTACTGTACAGTAATATAAGAGTGAGTATTCCTCACTCTTGAAAAGTTTTAATGTTAAATATCTGTGCTGCACTTGGATGGTTTCTCTAATGATGTAATGCATTAACCCTCAAGGTAACAGTAGTAGTGGTTGTGTGAAATGTAACATATTCCACCATATAGTTCAATAGTTGATCTGTGAACATTGTGAACAGGATAAAATATCATCAACATCTTTTTAGTGACTGAAGAGGTTGAACTTCTGCTTGTGATACTTTTGCAATATAAAAGTGTAAAACAATAAAATGTAGCCTGTCTTTAACCCACATATTTTAGATTATTTTAATCAAATATGCTATGTGTTTTGACTCATAATTATTTTGTACGTTAGTTATTATCTTAATTTGCTGTGGATTTTAATGAATATTTGCAAAAGGAGGTTATGTTTTTTTTTTTGCAGGACCACACAAAAACTACCCAATCAATTATCCTAAAATTTTGTAGAGGGGTGTGGTACATCCCAAAGAAGAATCCATCACATGTTGGTGTGAATCTGTGTCAGGGGACGGATCCAGGGATTTTTCTAACTCTCATTAACATTGTGTGATAGGGAACATTTTCATTAATTTTTGGGGGAGAATAGCACAATGATCTTGATCAACAATATGAGACAAGTTTAGGATTAAAAATCCAGATATAGTGAAATTAAATGTAGTTTCATATGGGGACAGTTGTGCCTTGGCTGGGGCATGCGCTCCCCTGAGTGCCGTTGTAGTTCTGAGTTTCTTTTTTATCAATTTAAAATGTGAGTTGTTGTCACATGTGTCTGCATCATGATACAACATACACAGAAATTCAGCATACTTTAAATAAAGAAAACAGCCTTTACTCAGATTTGAGGAGGTTTAAAGGTTCAGTGTGTAGAATTTAGTGGTGAAGTTTCAGGTTGCAGCTGAACACCCCTCACCTCACCCTGCACCCCGTGTGAGAGAGAACCTGTGGTAACCTTCAGATGTCAGAAAAACTCCAAAGTGTTACAAAAAACATGCCGGGCTGTGTAGGGAGGACCCACTTCCAATGTCAAAGGCATTACAATATAGAGGATCAATTCTAAGGTAGAGAAAAAACAATTTGTACAATTTCGATGAAACACAAGTGAAAACAGAGACTGACGTGTATTAGATCGGAGCAGTGGTGTGGTTCCGGCGGTAGGGGGCAGTGGCGCACCTGTGATGCTTTGACGCTCAGCCTGGAGGGAAGCGTAGAGGAAGAAAAGGCCACGGTTGTAGCGGCAATGAAAGAACAGCGTGCTACTTCCAATTTGAGCAAAACATAAGTTTAGTGTGAACTAGCGGCGAAAAGTAACCACCAGCAGTTTGAGCGTTATTCATATATTTTTCAGAAAGTCACAGGACTGCGTCGGGAGGATGTCTTTGGTTTGTGCAAGTAAGTGAAGCTGAATTCATTGAAATGACGGAGGCTGTGCAGGTTAGCTAGCAAGCGCGCTAATGCTAATAGCTAACGGAGCTAACGCTAGCGGCCATGCAGTGCCGCCTTTGACTTGCGGGAGCTCTCAGGTCTTGGTAGTTTGTGCTGGTTTGACCGTCGGCCTCGCCTGCTTTTAGAGGCTGTAACCACATCTTGTCTTTCTCACCCAGTCTCCAACGAGGTGCCGGAGCACCCGTGTGTCTCCCCCGTGTCCAACCAGGTGTTCGAGCGCCGGCTCATCGAGAAGTACATCGCGGAGAATGGGACGGACCCGATGAATGGACAACCGCTGTCTGAGGAGCAGCTCGTAGATATCAAAGGTGAAATTTCAACTCCCTGACCGAAGTCAAACTAATGCAGCTCCGTGGATCAGCCCTGCTCCCATTCCACATGTGTGGATAGATGTGTATGTTCAGTTTGGAGGCTGGTGTGTAAGTTGCTATACAGGACGGTACTTCTAATGTTGTATCCACCTCAGTAAGAATCATATTCAGATTAATCACATGAAACACCGAGTAAACACTAGAACATATCAACTAATTCAAACTGAACACATCAGTATCATCAATAGCTCAACATCCAGGAAGAGATGGTTGATTGCATGTTGTAATATTAGTGTTGTAGCTAATTTACCCTCATCTGAGATTTCTCTTTAACAGGATTATTTTGTAAAAACGATTCCCACTACTGGGCAGCTGGAAGTGGAGAATGTTTGTAAATTGTGCTTGGAAAAAAACTTGTTTGATATATTTCTTATTTTGATACTGTTTTACTCCCCTGTTTTATTCCCCAGCAAGTGTCCCTGAAACCAAATTATTGACAAGGCTGCTTGTTCTGAACATGTGCAACTTGTCCTTTTTCTAGTGTCCCATCCTATTAGACCAAAGGCGCCATCAGCAACAAGCATTCCGGCCATTCTAAAATCCCTTCAAGATGAGTGGGTAAGTATTCTTAACTTTGATGAGTCGCTACTGGGATACAGAGGTGACTTTTTCTTTCTAGACCATTTTTACTAATATTCTCAATGTCAAAAAACCTTGGGAGGAACTTAATGTACCTTTCTTTTGAATGATCATGGCTTTCTTAGACTAGAATGCTCTAACATGCTCCCTGGTTCTCTTTGAAAGCTTCTCTAGTAATTATGAGCCACGTTAATAATCATTATGCACTTTTTTAGATTTGCAGGATATATTTCTCTTAAAGTTTAGGAAAGGTAGAAGATTTCCGTCATCGTGTCTTTTCTGTTGCAGGATGCCGTTATGCTTCACAGCTTCACCTTGCGGCAGCAGCTGCAGACTACTCGCCAAGAACTGTCACACGCCCTCTACCAACACGATGCCGCCTGCAGAGTCATCGCTCGCCTCACCAAAGAGGTCACTGCTGCGAGAGAAGGTGAGATAACTACAGTTTGTGTGTCCTCTGCCGTAGTGCGTGATTAAAGTTGGAAAGCGCATGATAATGTGAGAGCCTGTTTTTCTCATGTGATCTATTTTCTCCTTACAGCTCTTGCCACACTCAAACCCCAAGCTGGATTGGTTGCCCCTCAGGCAGTTCCCACCTCTCAGCCGACTGCAGCAGTGAGTGATTGACTTTTATTTCAACCGATAAGCTGCTGATGCTCACCGTCATCTTCTGCCATTGTTGCTGACAACTGTATCTGTTCCTCCCCCTCACAGGGTGTTGGTGGAGAGCCTATGGAGATTAGTGAACAGGTCGGAATGACCCCAGAGATCATCCAGAAGGTAAGACCTTCTTTAACTTTCATCAATCATTATTTGGAATCAAGCTTTCTATTTTCGTAGCAGCTCTAAAATGTATTTCAATGTTTTTTTTCTGTTTGCAGCTCCAAGACAAAGCTACTATCCTTACCACAGAGAGAAAGAAGGTATTATATTGTTCTTTGTTGTATTTCATTGCCAAATTCTGCATTAATATGTAAATTGTTAAGCAAACATTGAGGTGCTGGGTTTTATGCCTTTATACTCCTGTAACGACTGTTCTATATTTCTCCAGAGAGGAAAGACTGTGCCAGAGGAGCTGGTTAGAGCTGAGGACCTCAGCAAATACCGCCAAGTGGCCACTCATGCCGTAAGTTTATGCACCTGTCTGTTGAGTTTAAATTACTCATTCATCTTTTTGATCAGGAGGCTGCAACAGATTCTTCAGGTAATTCAACCTGCAAACTGTCAACACTTTTTTTTTTTTTGCCTTCAGGGTCTTCATAGTGCCAGTGTGCCTGGTATTCTGGCTTTGGATCTGTGTCCTTCAGACACCAACAAAGTGCTCACTGGTACATTGAATAAAGATTCCTTTTTTAAAGCTTTTAATTTGTTAGCTTTCTACTCATCATTTGAAACATCTTGTTATTTGACACTAACCCCACCTGTGTTCTCCTAGGTGGAGCTGATAAGAACGTGGTGGTCTTTGACAAGAATGAGGAGCAGATTGTGGCGACACTTAAGGGTCACACAAAGAAGGTCACCTCGGTCATCTACCATCCATCCCAGGTAACTTTTCATTTTTGTGAAACATCAACCTGGCAAAATAATGTATCTTCAGGTAACTAAATAAAAAAGCAGATTCAAACACATGCTCAGCTTGACCTTCTGTTCTTAACTTTCCATTCTAGTCTGTGGTCTTCTCTGCATCACCAGACACCACCATCCGTGTGTGGTCTGTCACTGGAGGCAACTGTGTCCAGGTGGTTCGTGCCCATGAGGGAGGAGTCACTGGACTCTCCCTACATGCTACTGGAGACTACTTGCTCAGCTCCTCAGAGGATCAGGTACGTTTGCATCTTGAAGAAAACATATGCAAACCTCACGCTTCAATAAATTACAAAGTTAATAGTAAAAGTGCGTTACCACACTAACTTCACTGTTATTTTTGTCCCTCAGTACTGGGCCTTCTCAGATATTCAGACTGGTAGAGTCCTCACCAAAGTTACTGATGAAAGTGCTGGCTGCGGTAAGTGCCTCTTTATTAAAACGTGAATTTCACAGTCTGAATGAGTCATCTTTCAGGTGGTAATGTTTCTGTTTGCTCTCCACAGCTCTCACCTGTGCTCAGTTCCACCCTGATGGTCTCATTTTTGGCACTGGTACGGCTGACTCTCAAATCAAGATTTGGGATCTGAAGGAGCGCACCAATGTGGCCAACTTCCCCGGCCACTCTGGTCCTGTCACCTCCATTGCTTTCTCTGAGAATGGATACTATCTGGCCACAGGTAACAAAGTGTAAAGTTGCAGGACGATTTTCAAGTACAAGGATCTAAAATCCTCTTGAGAAACCAAAGAACAGAAAAAGTACAACATTTAATATATAAACCTTGTTAACTGAAGCATCTTCAGCCTTTGTATTGGCACTTAACTGGAATTGGAACTTAACTAACCTTTTCTGGTTGTTTCCTTCAGGTGCCCAGGATAGCTCTCTGAAACTGTGGGATCTGAGAAAACTGAAGAACTTCAAGACCATCACTCTTGACAACAACTACGAGGTAAGACCAGAGGGATAAATGAGAAAAATAGCTATCAGAATTTTAGGCCTTAAAAGGTCTTAAATACACTCAAATATTATGTACAATATGTTTAGATTGGTCCAAATTTGGTTGACTTTTTGTTGTATTTTAGTTTGAGCTCAATTGGATAGTCACCTGCTGTCATCAAACTACAAACAAGATTAACATGCAACTTAAGATGAAGTATTGTGGCATTTTGAAGATTTTTCTGCACTGGGCTTCTTCACCATATCCTCAATTATGGGTTAGGGTTAGGGTTTTTCATTTTCATTCATTATGATCATACCTTTTTTTTGAAATCTTAAATTTAACTT